TAGAATTCGCCCCCTAGACGAGATTGCAAATGATTTTTATTTATTTAATTATAACATACATTTACTATTACCAATATTGCTAGGTAAAAATCGGTTAAAGAATATAAACTTTGTTTCATTTTTATATATATTCTAATAGTATTAAAATTTTCATTAATAAACGAAAAGTAATGTTAATGACCTTACAGTTGAGCATATGCTTATTAGTAATTTTTCACATTTGTTTAATAACGGATCAGTGACAATTAGTCGATTCGAATGTTCGCAAGATTTTGCGACTGCCTTTAAGAAAATTTCCGTTGAATATTATGTCGGTGTAACAATAAAAAATGAAGAGAAGCAGAGATACCAGGACAACCGAAATGAGCTTGCAATCGGGAAATTGCACGTTCAACAAAGTAATTCAAACTTCCTACGTTTTTATAAATCTAAAAGATTGCTTCGTGTCGTTTGTTTTCTGAAGCAACGATATTATCTATACTTCGTATTTTGTACACTGGCTCTAAGACATTCAAGATTCCATCGAAGGCGCCCGTGTCGATTTTCGCGGCGCGAGCTTCTTCTTCGGAAATAAATATTTATATAGAGGAAGGAAATAAATGATCGGGAGGAGGTGGGGGGGATCAGGGAATCCGTGGTCAATGATGGAGCCCTCCGACTTTCAGTTTCTTCGACTGGCGAACCGTCCTGCTTGTCTCGCTGTCCGTGGATTCAGACTCCGAGTCGTTGTACCCGGACATCGGAACGCCTTCGGCTTTCGTCACTTCGCATGTCTCTGCGGCGAAGTTCCCCGTTATCTTTGCTTTCTCGAGCGCCCGAACTGAAAGTGAACGACCAGTAAAATATATTATTAAATGTAATATTCCCAATCGAATCTAATGAGTGAATCGTGGATGTTCATGCAAACTTTTACTTTTATAAATACAATTAAAGAAACGAAATACATATGAACATTTCTGTTTTGAATATTATAAACTATAGTTTCCTTTGAAAGTTTTGTATTTTTTTACATATTATTATATACTGTGTCTCTTTAAATTATTTAAAATTCCAGTAAATGCATGAACATCCGCAGCCTACTAATGAGAGTTACATTGGATAGTTACTTTGAGATTCCAAGAGGTTGTTCTGCCGTTTCAAGTCGTCGATGTCCTGCTGATGGGAGGAATTTTTGCGCCGCATGAACTGGATATATTCAGCTGCTTTCTTGAGTATCTGAGCTCTGCTGGCGACTTTTTCTCCCTGAAGGGCAGGTACCGAGTCTCTGAGACTTGAAAAGCTGTCCTTGATGTGATCCCTGCGTTTGCGTTCCAGGGCATTATGGTGTGCACGTTTTTCCGCCTGAAAATAGGTTAAATTTCCTTCATAGAATTGTGGATTATCATGTATGTCTATTGAATAGAAATAAAATATCTGTGGTCATTGTATGTAACCTTTAATCGATATGAATAATGTCACAAAGTAAGAGATCATTCGTTGAAAATTAATGAATGAAAAATCGATTTTTGAGTACCAGACTGAATACAACAGAAAATATTTACCTAACCTTGACGACGACTAAATTGAACTCCCGACCGAGAAAATACATTCCTAACTTCGATTCAACCAAATTTCACCAAATTGATGAAGATAATAGCGAAGAGAACAAATGTAATGAATTCAAGCGACGAACTTACTTGAGAATAATATTGCGTATTGTTCGAGTGTCTCTGCCTGGAATCGGAGTCGTCGCCTTCCTGAAAACGAACGACGTTTTTAGCCGTGCCGATCGACAAGTATTAAATCCTAGGACTTACGTCGCTCTCGATATCGATGTCTCGGTCATCGTCACTCATTATAATTTCTTCAATCGTGGAAATAAACAACAGGTAAACAAGAGTTTTCGTCAAGTGCCTAAATAATACATCTACGTCTCCGCGTGTCTGTGTATACGAACCAGCGCTGCCACCAGCTGCCACCGTTCGCCAGAATACAAGATTTCTCCTCTTCCCGTGCTAACCCCCACTACTTTTTCTTCCCTCCACTTACGTTATCCATGGTCATTGGAAACATGCCATATCTAAGTGGGGAGAGTATACAGCAGCATAAAATAGTGGGGAGTAGCACGGAAAGAGGAGAAGTCCTGTATCTGGCATCGCTGATGCGAACGGTACGAACGTGAAAATATTGTGTACACAAAACACGAACAGGTTTCAATGGAATAAAATGAAAATCACTAACAATGGAAAGCGATCACGAATAAATGATTGTTCGGAAGATCATTTTATGAAAATAATAAGGGAAGAAATAATAAATCCTGTATTACACATTTGTAACTTGTTAATACACGGGATACGAAAATTATTGTGTGAGATATAGGGATTTAAATTTGGGAATAATGGGGAATTTTAGTATGGAGGAAGCATGCCCAGTGAAGAAATGTAAACGACGGTGAGAGAGAGAGAAAGAGCAATAGTTTGAGTATTCTCTCTAATAGTAGAGACGCAGACGCGTCAACCAATCACATACTTGCGCGAGAGAGAACTATAACATCCAAAAACTATCTTCTTTCTCTCTCTTTCTCTCTCACCGTCGTCTACACTGTCGCCGTAAACGTGCTTCTTCCATGGCTCCATGTACTATATGCTGAAATATGCTCTAAGTACGCAACAAAGGAAAAAACGTGCAGCCGCCAAACAAAGGAAAAAATGTATAGAATGAAATAAGTGATATATGGATAACAAAATTAACAAATGCGTTACGCTAGCGTCTTAC